TCGGAGATGACGGAAGGGCGGTTGAGGACGCCTCGGAAGTGCTCGGCCCATCGCTGCAGGATTTGCGTCTTCTCAGTCAGGAGAGTGCTGCCGTCGGCGCTGAGGAGAGGAGCAGTGCCCTTCGTCGGCGGACCGTAGACAGCTTTGATCGCGGAGAAGAAGTTCTTCCATTCGTTGCGGTCCGCGTAGCCTTGGATCTCCTCAGCTTTGCGAGCAGTCCAGGCGTCCTGCATCTCGCGCAGTCGTTGCTGAAGCTGTCGGCGACTGCGGTAGAAGGCAGCTTTGTTGCCCTCAGTTGGGTGCTCTACGTAGGCTTTGTGTAGGCGGTTCTTCTCGGCAAGCAGATTTCTGATGGCAGCGTCGTTGTCGTCGAACCAGTCCTGGTGTTGGCGGGAAGCGCGACCGAGGACGGCGAGCGCCGTCGACTGGACTGTGTCACGCAGTTGACACCAGCGGTTCTCCACGGAGGCGTTCTCGGCAGCGGCGGCGGCGGCGGCGGCGTCGTCGTCGTCTGCGGCGGCAGCGATAGGAAGGTTGTCTAGCCGTTGAGCTAGCTCATTGCTGAAATGGAGACGGTGAGCAGGCAAAGACAACAAAGCAACATTCAGCTTACCTGGGGGTCGCTTACCTTGTGGTCTCCTGCGAGGCTGTAGGCGAATACGCATCTTCGAGATGACGAGGCGATGGTCGGTCCACCCGTCAGCACCCGCGATCGCCTTCGTCACCAGCACGTCCCGTTGATCTCGCCTCCGGACGAGGACATAGTCCAGCAGGTGCCACTGACGCGACCGAGGATGCCTCCAGGTGGCCTTCTCTCGCACCGGCAGACAGAAGAAGTTATTCGTCAGGGTGAGGCGGTGTTCTGCGCAGGTGCGGAGGAGAAGCAGGCCGTTGTCGTTGGAGCCGCGGAGACCGTGGGGACCCAGCACTCCTCTCCAGGCAGTATGGTCTGTGCCGACGCGGGCGTTGAAGTCACCAAGGACAATCAACTTGTCCGCCTTCGACACAGTCGCCAAGAGGAATTTGTCTCTGACGGCGTCAGGGTTGGTCATCGTCGGAGCGTAGGCGCTGACGATGGTGGCGAATTTGCCTCCCCAGAGAGGCAGGCGGAGGCTCATCAGGCGATCGTTGATGCCCTGCGGCAAACAGGGCAGTCGTCCCACGATGTCGGTCCGGATGGCGAAGGCGACGCCCGCGTCTCGTCGCTCTGCCCTGGGTCGGCCACTCCAGAAGAAGGTATAACCGGCACCCACCTCCTCCAGTTGGCCTTGTTCGGAGAATCGCGTCTCGCTGAGTGCGGCGATGTCCACCTTGTAGCGCGCCAGTTCTCGTGCCACTAGCGCCGTCCTCCGTTCCGGTCGGTTGCTCCCCGGATTGTCTAAAAGGGAACGAGCATTCCAGGCTGCCAGAGTGAGCGGGCTCACCCTGTCAGTCTGGGGAAAACGAGTGGGGCGACGGGAAGGAGACGGAGAAGAAGATGACGAAGGAGAAGAATAGGCAGAAGAATAGACGGAGGTAGAGGAAGAAGAGGTAGGATGAGGAGAATGAGTATGGTTGTTGTTGTTGTTGTTGTTTCGAGTTTGATTGTTTCGACCGTGAGTTTTGCGTCTGCGACCACGGTGCGCCAGCAGACGACGTGGTTCCCCAGCAATTTTTAGGCCAGCTTTTCCAGGCCCCCCCGAAGGAAGCAGTGCCCTGACCCCTGAATAGGGGCTGCTTGATGTGCCGGCGCGGCCGAACTCCACTGTGGGCCACGAGTTTTTTTGGCAGTGGAAGAACGACTCGAATTTGCCAATGGCTTACGGCATTGCCGCAAGCCTGCGGTCTCCTATGGTGCACCAGATGGGCGCGTGTCGACGGTGCCGATTCGGAGATCCATCCCACCGGCTGATCAACGGCGTACCAGGCGGAGCCTCGTCTAGACGATGTCGATGCGACGTTCCACCACCAACCGGCTGACCAGCGGTGTGTCAGACAGAGCTTCGTCCCGACGGCGCCGACGCGGTGTTCCATCCGACCAACCGTCCACGGAGTCCGCAGTCACCTGTGCACGCGGCACAACGCGCACAGGGAGTAACCACCCTCACCTGGTTTAGCCCGTCGGTCGAGACGGTTGCCCGGGGTGTGGCCGCTGAGCAGAGCCCAGCTACGTGGAGCCACAGGTGAGAGTTGAGTGCCAGCAAGTGGACGCTAGGCGTAGTCTCACCTGCAAGCAAGTGAGCGACCACTACGACCTTCACGTGAACCCACCGCTGACACCCCTACACCCAGGGGGTGTGGTGGAACGCCAAGGTGAGGATCCGTCCGAGCCATCCACCTGCGGCCTCCCTCGTCTCCGGTCTTCTTGACTCTGTCTTGACACCGGGCCCAGGCGGGGGAGGAGGAGAGAGTGTAGGTAGATGCTACGCAAGTCTACTGGCACTATAAACCCCTGCCTAAGTCACCGTCCCTGCTCCCACCGCTGCTGCAGCTGTGGGGCACACGGTGGACATAGTCGAAATCGACGGTCGAACTGTCATTGTAGTACACTTGCACTTAAGTGCTTTTTTCGCGATAAATATGAATACTGCATCTGCTTAAGAAGGGGTAACATCTCGCCGGAACAGATTTACTGAACCGCTGAAGTTTTGTAGAACTTGGTCGGCCCACCTAGTCTCACGGACGTGCAACTGGCGTGCTGAGCTAGTTGGCCTTAGAATGATCGATTTTTTTCCTGCTGTCTTGGCCTTCTGGTGAATGTTTGACGGGCTTGACAACTGCGTGCGTTATGAGTCATCGCCTCGATGGTGGGTGGTTGAGCCTCTACGCGGTTGCTCGTGCCTCTCCCCCCGTCAGGTGATTTCTTCGTCGGGCCGTGTCTGTGGTGTTTTTTAAAGTTCTGTTTTAATGCACCACAAGTTCGACGGGGTTGTTTTAACGAGCTGAGGTCACTTTGGCGCGGATCCCGGATGGGTCTGGTGTGATCATTTGCCAGTGAAGATGGCCGCTAACACCGCTTCTCCCACTCTCGCCGTCCGTCCGTCACTCGTCTCTTTTATCGTCAGCACACTCATCGGCGCTTACTCGCCGTTGCCGACAGCGCTGCAATCCCCACTGGCAGCTAACTGATGTGTCGTGACCACCTCGCACTCCAAGTGGAGCATTTGTGCAGTACCTCGCTATTTTCTTGTATTCGTTCTGCGAAAATTCCAATATTACAATTGAAGAGTCACTTTGTGAACAAATGTCTTCGGTAACTCATCCTCAGGCCGGTGCATTTACATGGGTAATGGCCATTCTAATTGTAGACAGGATATAAATGCGTCTCAGGGGCAGTGTTAATCGGACTCCATGTTCCCATGCCGCCCGCATGACGGAGTCAGCGTGTTGAGGGCGGTGGAGTTAGGGTGGGGGGGTGGGGGAAGTAGAGGGGTTCCGGTTAGATTGTAAGCGCTATGAGTGCGCGTGACTGCTCTCAGGGCGTCGGGACTTCGTGCAATCACCGTCTGGAGTCGGCCAGGGCAGACAGACTGCTTGTGTCAGCGTCTTCTGACAACAGAGTGCTGGGTTCGCCAGTCGAATGGCCACTGCTTCGGCTGTGGTTAGCACCCGTGTGCGTAGGCCTTTAGAGTAGTGTGCCGGTGCCCGTTAGATAACTTTAAAAGCTTCTTTAGCGTCGGCTTGGTGGTTCGTATCGATTATATGTGCGAGAATTGAAGTCTAACTCGATCGATCTTCACCTCTACCTTGCCAGGCAGGCACACGTTCGCGTATTTTCTTTTCCAGACGCCTGGTTGTGCGGCCAATAGATCCCGCTCCACAGGAGCAGGTGAATTAATAAATACACATGGATGTGGCCTATAACGGCAGCTGGTCTTTGTCTTCGTTATTTTCCACCTTTTCTACTCTATCCTTTTGGTATCGTAACATAGATTTCATACACTAGAAACCCCTTTTCTTATTACATCCCTATATGCTTGACTGATGTGGTGTTCAACAGCTCTGTCCAGTGTTACGTAACCGGAAAGCTACCCTAGGCGATCTATTCGACCGGATGTGTGCTAACCCCAACGTCTTCGGCCGCTACGTTGTATGGCCGTCTTATTCCGCCCTTTGTGTACGTAACGACGCAGAACTTTATGAGCCACAGGAAGGCCAATATGTTTGTTTGTGGAGTTGGCATCCGAACACTACGCCTCGAGTACTAGTCGTTTTGCTATTGAACTATCGTAGCTTAAGATAATCGCTCTTTGACGGCCAAAAATATGACCAGTTTCTCCAATATGCGTTGACAACTGTGAGTTCGACTCGGGAAGTGCATGATTTGTGGCCAGGGTTGCTTACTCCGGGGAGGATTTGTGTGGAACAAAAGAAGTAAACACCTAAGAACTTTTTGGTATCACACATTTTGATGCTGTATGTTGTTAGCAATTGAAAAGAGTTACTATTTTTACCATTTAATGAGAACAGTAAGTGGATATAGTGTCCCTTTGTTAAAAAGGAATCGCATTGTCCTATTTTTACTCTCATGACAACCTTAAAACATCTTGACCACCCTCACGCAAGAGTCGCCGCGAGGTCCTTTTTATTTCTTTCTCTGACGTACAAATATGTATCGTCAGTTATTTTCTTTTAGCTCTATCGCTCCCCCGAAAAATTAACCCCGGCCATAGACCACGCCCTTGCCTTCGGCTCCAGCCTCTTAATGGCCTATTTTTGATCGTGTGGGCGAGTCTGCATTTATCATCTAATTTCATCAACTTAGTTTCAGCACCCATCATTGCAGCTTATTTTGTAGACACCTACCCAGGTGTCTGTGAGTGGCGACGTGTCTCTAAGGTGCATCAAGTGGTCACGAATCATTGCCTTAGGTCGATGGACTACACCTACTCTGGCGGGTGGTAACAGTCGAATAATCGCTTCGACTGTAGTTTACTGCTCCTTTGGTCACCGCCTGTTCTCATTACCTGCTTTTTCCGATAAAGTGGTTTGGGAGTTCATTAGCTCTGAAGAGGTTCGACGGTATTATTGTTGTCCTCTGGCGTGCCCTAATGTGTTTCCATCCTTTGTACTAGAGTCGGGGCACAGCTGTGTTTGTGGGACAGAGGGCAATTTCTGTTGAAATGTAATACTTGCTTTGTGTTGGTGGCTCTTCTGAGTACTGTAGTTTGTAGTGGACCAGTTGCACACCGACGCACAAGGACGTCGAGGCAGGGGAGTTGGTTATTTGTTTTGGCCTCCATCTTGAGTTGGATATTCGGTTTAACCGAGCCCAGTAACTTGTTAATGTGCCCAATGTGAGTTGTTTCGTCAATGAAAAAAAGTGTTGTCGACATAACGCTGCCAGAACGTTGGTTACAACTTAGTGAACACTAGGCGTTCTATCCGTTGAAGAACCACTTAAGCAATTAAACCTGGTGGGGGGTCCCATAAGAATGCCTTTACTTTGTTCGTACATTTGTCTACCACAGCCAGTAGATACGCAAACCACTTTATCGGGCAAAGCAGGCGCCGAGTGAACAGACAACGGCTAAAGGATCAATGATCGGAAGTCTGTATGGCCATTTCCTACATTAGGAGAGTCTTCAAGGCGGCCTGTCGACTGTGACAATCCGCCAAGCTAGGCATAGTCCATTGAACCCGGGCGACAATTTGTCTCCGTTTGATGCAACCTAAGGGCTCGCTTTTTTCCTCCTTCTCCCCCTGTCACACCGAAACTCCAAACTTTGCCAATCTGAGCACCGTATTTGTGTTTATTTTCCAATTGGGTTTTGTCTTTAAAGTAGGAAACAGATACTTCATTTGGTGTGTGCAGTTAAAAACAACAGTTCGACTTAACTTCGCGGAGAGTGAGGGAATACGTGCGCTTAGAAGGCTATTCCCTCCAACCAAAGCTTGGCTTGTCTACATTATGTAATCGCCTTCCCCTTCTTTTTTTCCGCATAGTCTGCCTCCAGGTTCTCGTGGAATTCAGCAGTAATGAGGAAGTTGTTCTTGGAGCTGTACGAGTGTTGGGTAACCTTACAAGCCATCTAGAAGTGAGGAAATCATTAGCACATCTCGGAATTTGGAGCTACCCTCGAGGTGAGGATGTTCTCAGTCCGGGACTGGATGCTGTTTCCAACCTATGCAACCTCCTAATCGACATGCTTAATTCGAATCGTCTGGACTCAGTCTATTGCACACTCGGCGTTATAACAAATTTGATGTTGGAGTCGGAATATCGCGGCGCCTTTCGAGACCTCAACGGATGTCATAAGTAAGCTAAGTGATGGCTCTCTGGCATGATTCATGTCTTTGACATGCTTATTTTACTTTTTTTAAACAAAAGTCCACAGACGATTTCTTTGTTCTGATGTATGATATTGCTCCTGGTAGTTTGAATGAAGCAGGTTGCCTTGTACAAACGAAACTGTTCGGTCCACTCAAAAAGCCAATATGCTTGTCGTTTGGTTTTTTTAATGTTGCCCGAAATAATTGCCGAGTCGTTGCAATAGTTGAAGCTCGTCTGGATCTCCTCCAGTAGTAATTACGAGTGGCATGCGCGTCGATCACCGTAACTCATGCGGGCACTGTCCTCAATCGCCGAAAAAATTCGTCACAAATTTGCCTGTCAATAGGAGTGCGCCGGACAGTCAGCTGGAGGCAATGGTGCGGAAAAATCGTGGCTGCCGAACAAATGCAGTCACTATTCGTAAAAACAATAAAGATGCCGAGAGGTATTATCCAAAAAGAAGACTGTAGTGGTCATTCCAGGGCTTGAGGAATCGAACGTATTCTGCCCTGCAAACCCGGGCAGGTCTGTGAATGTCGCTATATTTGGACTTTTGACAAGCAACTTTGCTTTCGCTGTGTATGGCTGGAAGTCGACTACGAACGAGGGTAGAGATCTTGGTGCAAATGCAAAATATGGGGTTAGAAAGTCGACTTAGGGACATTTTACGCCTGCTGTAATGAGCCTTCTGTGGAGTGCTGACGTATGACCTGCCAGGCATCGTTGCACCTATTTCCGTATTGGATGATTTCTACCTCAAAAAACTGCTGTAGACATTGTTTTAAGTAGCAGCTGTGTAGGAGTTGCTCATCCCTTGCACCTCAGGTTCATGTTAAATGCCTTTTGGGATATTCGTCTATAGTTATTTAAGAATTGGGAAAATTCCCATTGGTCACTCGGGAGCCGAACAGGTTGTCGCGGTGTGCTGTATGTGCCCCCACTTAATTGTCATACAGTGCCTACTTACTACGTTTAGGTAGCACAATATAATCCGAACGATTACTTGCTGTGTTTCCCGCTCAGGCAGCGTGCCGTAATCAGTTTGCGCCTGTTACGGGAAGACCGCCAGTAAGTGTTGGCTTTCACAACGAAGAAGGCTATGACAGTCGGGAAACCAAAAAGTCGTTTAGCTACAGCGTTTTTTCCATTTGGAAAGCTGATCAGTTTTTCAGGCTGTCGATTTCTGAAACCGTAACCTGCCTGAATTATAGGGAAAAAGCGTCATCTTACTTTGCACCTCTCCCGACAAAAGCCGCCGCAGGAGGCGTCGGCATGCTGAAAGCATCAAACAAACTTCTCTCGCTTATTCTCATCTGAACTGCCGCACCTCTGCCTCTGTTCTTTATTTCCACTCCCAATCAGACTTGTGGAAACGCTGAGAGCAAATGCTGGTGTTGACTGGCAGTTATCCTCACTGGCGTGTCAGGCAATAGCGAATTTCGTAGACAACCCGACCTCAGCAGTTTTTGAATCACTGGGTCTGGAGCTGGAGCATGAGCTGGAGAGCCTCCTCTCTGATCTTGTTGGTAAGCCCTCTTCCCGATTTTCAAGAAAATGAAGTCCCCTAAGTGACGGATACGTGGAGGTTTCCTGTCTAGGCGGAGTCGATTTTAGGCCACGGTTGTTAATATAGGAGTCCGTCTACCACCCAAACTAAATATGCTCATTTCGCACTAGGAGGTATTTTGGCATAGTGGAACTCCTATTATCCGTTGCAGATTTCCATCCTCAAATTTATTTAATATTCATTTCATATTGACCCAACATCTATGAATTACGTAAGCCTGGTAGTCATCTGGTGGATTCTATGTGAATTGCTTAGAAAATTCTCCCTGGGCAGTCAATGTAATGTATCAGATTTGGTGGATTTCAGACGTTACAGTAGGTTGGACGGGTAATTTGACCCAAATGTGATTAAACTCGTGTCGTCCGACGGGGCCTCGTAGCTCAAGTGGTTAGAGCGTTAGCTGTACTAAAGCCTTCCCCTTACTGTCGTGAGTTCAAATCCCACCGAGGCGCCGAGTTTTTCACAGTTGGCTAAATATGAGTTATTCGAAATCTGCCAAAACATCTATTACATACATTTACCTTAATTTATTTTCTGTCCCATTTTAAACAGACAGACCATTCAGGGTCTGCCCATGAGTGGCACTGTCACACTTAACCCCGTGAGAATAAATCTGATATACTTTTAACCACAACAGGGCCCTAAAGATTCTCTCGAAGAGGCTTAACAACTGGTTAGATAACTTGGTGTTCAGGACTGGAAAGTTGTTATGACCTGGTGCTCAGATGTCTATTGTCTCAACCGCCAACGCGGCAGCAAAAACCGAACACGATCGGCCGTGAGAAAGGTTTATTAACCTGCAAGTTGTTCTTACTGGAAAATAGCGCATATGTAATAACATCCTATTCAGGTTAGCTATATTCTGTCCAAAGCGTTTTGAGAGGATAATTCTTGACCTGCCGAGCAACTCCCCGCCGACACGGACCCGTTAGGTTCCACGGAAGTAGCCAACGGCGAGACACTGCCAGCATAGTAACAGCCCCTGACAGCGTGCTAACAGTGCACACGTGAGTTTAGGCATTTCCAACAGAAGTGGGTCACAGTAGCTCCATAAAATAACCGTTTATCAACCCTCATCAGGTATAACATCTGATCGATTGAGGACCCAGTACAAAGGTAGCACGCAAGGGGCGGAGGCCTTGTAACTGGTCAGCCATTATGACTAAATCCAGCTGCATTATTCCTCGCCTGATTTTTTTATTTGAGCACACTGGGCTTGGAAGTAGGGAGCGAGGTCCGGTGCTGCCCAACTCCCCCACCCCGTTTATAACTGCTCCCTCTCCCATCCTACCCTCTGGAGTCATTACGGTAGTCACAGTTTTCATCGAACGGACAATTAGGCGGCTGTCCTAGAGCCACGAGGTTATCTCCTTTGTCACTAGTAGACCCAGTCCGTTCCTACACCCTGCTTAATAAGAGTACCCCTACTTCATTAGTCAGACGATTGAGGGGGCGAGAGGAAGGATGCGTTGAGGATCGCCTCATGGTCTGTGGACTTGAAGTAGTAGATTAATTATTTAACCGTCATTTGAACGAATACACCAGTGAGCTGTGTCACAAAAACTCTTCCAGGACGAGCTGGAACGCGTGCGTAAATTTATTTGACCCATTTGTGAAAAACTCGATGGGATTCGAACCTATGACAGAAGGGGCAAGTCGCCGAGTTTTTCGCAATTTGGTCAAACGAATTATTAAAATTTTCGAAAACACCTTTTACGTCCATAAATGTTACGAAGGATAAAAACAGAATGGAGTCAAAACATAGGGTGAAAGGAAACGCAACCAGGCACGACACAACAGGTCAAGTCTGCTGTGAAATACACGTGTGAAGTCAACTAACTAATCGGCGTGTGCTGCATCATCGATCAAGCGTGATACTTTTTCTCGCGCATGGAGCCAATCAGTAGCCACCAAACATTTAAATTCTTCCGCAGGAGATTATCGCGCAAGAACCAGCAAATCCAAGACCAGTGTGTCAGAGTCCAGGATCGAGTAATTCTCGTAGGCGTAGCTACCTAAAGAACTGGCGTACTTATTTAATATTTCCTATCCTCAAAGTGCGAACGTTGAACTATCAAAATGCGCCTAAAGTTGAGTATGTTGATGTCAAAATCTATCACAGTTATTAGCCGGTTATTTTGGAAGCCTTCGTGAATTTATCTCACCTGGTCAGATACATGTAAAAGCTTTTTTGGAAAATCGGTCTCTTTTCACTAAACAACTATCACTACGTCAAATCAATCAAAGTTGTTCCTGAAACACTCGGCAACGGTATGGAGAAGGATTACACTTTGCTGTCGCTGGACTATGGATAGTGTCATAAGTGATTGGTGACAAGGGGAGTTTTACGGGTGGGGCAGCGCGCTAGACAGCAAGCTGACAAAATGCAGGAAAATAAAGAAATTGTTTGGATTTCTCTCGAAAGACTCATCGTACGCTTTCTTACGACAACGGAAATGAGCGCGGTAATTAAAAATAAAAAGTAAATTTCAAAGAATAAAGGAGTTCGAATGATGGTTTGAAGTCGTGGAAAGTGATTATTATTGGCAATGTAATGTCTGCAAAGGCCTGCGAATGGATGCCAGGATAAAAGCCCATATGACGTGACCCACAGTCTGCCGACAGTAAAGTGGGGTCCTTCTCCATACCGTTGCCAAATATTCCAAGTGTAGGACGCAGGAAACGCGTGTGTACTTTTGCCCACTACAGCACATCTTGTGCCGATTGTCCCTATCCCAGATCCTGAAATTGTCAACTCTCTGGCAGCAGAATTCGACTCCAAATGTGGCGTGAGGTCCGGGGATTCTCTATACGCGCCGATATCTTGTCAGCAGCACCAGACGGCTGATTTGTGGAAGGCTGTCTGGAGCAGCGATTTCCTCCCCGTCGCTAGGGACCTTCTATCACGCCTGCAAACCAACTGATTTGGTTGCTACGAGCTGGAATCTCACGCATCAACTGAACGGAGCCCTAACCGCCTCAAAGCTGAGATTTGGCAGGGCAGAGCATGACGTGAGACTGGCTGTTTTAGCGGCCTATAGCTGCCTGTTTGATCGTCAACGACCAGTCTGGTTCCCGACTTCTGAGCTTTCCGTCCTCCCCCTTACGTCACCGAACCGTTTAGAACGAGAACCGTCCTGGTCACCCTGCTTCCATACTGAACTTCTAGGAATCCCTGTACCTATCGGTGAACTTGCATCCTCATGCAGTTTTTTTTACTATGCGAAATCGCAAGTACTGAGTTTATCTCCTTGACTTTAATAATAGATCTTAGCGTCCATTTTTTACTTTGAAAAATATTCGCTGTTTATGTTTCGACCACTTTACTGATTAGGGTTGTACATCCTCTATCTTCTTTTGCGCGAGTCTGTGTAAAACAGATCATTTGATTTAAAAATATCCACAATTCATAAAGCATTTTAAGTGATGAGATCCTAAATGTCTTCTTATGCAGCCATGCAATGTAGACGGAGCGGCTGGAATTAGAGACTTCTGATTTCCGACTAGGCAGGAGCCGGAGTATAAGAGCTTACTGAAACCTATATTTTATGGCCAGCGTTTTGAAGAGCTGGTTCGTCCGTTCGTCCTCCGTTTAATGCGGAAACACCAAGCAGCAACTCAAACGCTACGCCTAATTCGATCGGCTGTGGTCTGGTAGATTTTCCCCTACTATTGGTGGCAGCCCGATGAGTGCGAGAACACTTGTGGTAACTTGCACCTTTTGTCATCCATCCGGTTGGCTGAGAGTAATTGCACCTACGAAATGATTGTTCTGTAGTGGCCCTACTCCGAGCGCCTGCCGCAACGCTGGGTTTCTCGCGCGTGCCTGCACGTGCGCACCGCCCACTCGACCTTCAAACTGGCCACTCTGATTCAAGGCCGAATCAGCCGCGCCCTGTCTTAAGACGCTTTGACTCATACCCTGAGGGACCTGGGACGCCCCTCATCCGGCCGCCGACCATCTTCAAATCCTCTTCCATTCATTCTGTACAGAATACACAATCCTTCCAACTGGCGTCCATCTTTTCTTTCCATTCGGGACCGGGCCTGAAGGTCGTCGTGGCCAGGGTCTCACTCACGACCTAGGCTTCCGCAATAGTTCTGTCTGATGACTTCGGATTTTCCTCTCTGGGTGGGCTCGTAAGCGGGCTATCCTTGGTCACTTTCTCTAATGTCACCCTTCGGCCCTATGCTGATGTCTGTAGGAGGTGGATGATGTGCTGGTTAATTAAACTGACTCACGCAAAGCTGACAGTTCCCCAAAGGGGGGAGGGGGTGGCATCTAGTCTACAAGCTGTCCAATGGCATCCATTCAGGCTAATCTGTCTGGTTTTTCCCGAAATAACCGGAATAGCCATAGCAGAAAACTACATAGGTTTCACCAAGTGGCAGTGTGCTCTCGGATTGCATCACACTGAGCTAGACTGTAGTCTGGAGTCCATACTCCAAGCCTACTCCGAGAGCTTGCGGCATTCGAGGGACCGCATAAGATGGCAGTCTGACGTAGGTAACGAATTTCCGGAGCTTAGATTGCCGCTCTTGCCATCCTCCGTTCCGGATATCTGATAGACATAACTGATGTGCACTGCAGTCATTCTGTCGTCAGGGGGATGTTGCATTGTGCACCATTTTTTGGAGACGCTTGCGGACCCAAATGCGTTTTTAAGAGGCACGGTTGCGTTTGACGGTTGTACAGGGCACAGAGGGGATATCACGAGTCTTGCTGGAGTGACACATTGCCCCCCCCCCTGCCTCGCTGCACCTTTTGATTATCCCGTCCGGTCCCTACCAGACACTCAATTCTCATCTGGCACTCCGCGATGGTGTCTTCTGTAGACGGGATAAGATGAAGGTAGTCGGCGGTTTCCCCCCCACACGCTGAAACTGTGTGACACGTCTGACTCGGGGAAGCTGATAAGGGAACTGCTCAATGGCACGCGTAAAGGACGACCTTCCGTCAAGCCGAAGTGCTTTATGTATATGTAAGTTTAAGGCCATTCACATATAGTAAAAATTATGCTGACGTGGGTGTGGAGAAGAGTCCATGCATGCACACCCGCACGAGAAGTAGGGCTAGGACGGCATCCTGGGAAAGGCCAATCGAAAAGGAAGCTCACTCCAAAGTCGTTTCTCAAATCTGGTATACTTGGTACCAGGTTTTGAGCTAAGAATCGAGAAGGTTAAGAAGCGGGGAGCAGGCGAATTTGTCAGATCTTAATTTTGTGTTGGATTTTTTATGAGGGTCTCTGTCAAAGGCTTCCTTTGCTTTAAAGAAGCTTACAGCTATCCCGTCAGCCCCCACCTCCCTCCCCGGAAATAAGTTACTAGAAAGCAATGTAACAGGATTGGCATTACTCTCCACGAGGCCTGCCAAGAAGATTTTGGTAGTTCTGCGGTCTTCAAAAGACTACCCGTTTTGGTGCGAGTGTATCTTCTACGATTTTCAATAAAGATTGATTAATGGACACTAAACGCTTTCTATATCCCACCGAAAGCTCGAACATGAAGTCCTTGTTATACTGGAGTATCTCCGTATTCCAAGGAAAGGTTATTGGATTGGGAGTACAGGAAGTAGACTGAAGAGTGGACATAAGCACTAATTATGCGTTTAAACGGCCGCTTCTGTCGAATGGGGATTTTTGAGATTGGTTATTGACCAGTTTTATTCATTCTTCAGTGACCAAGACTGAACATATGTACCTGGAAGATGCCAGTCAGGCCACAAGCACATACGACAGTTCGACCGTCGTTGCAGACGATGTTCACCGTGTGCGCCACATCCAAATGGGAGCGGGGAAGGTGACTTGTGCGTGAATTAGTTTATAATGGTAGTAGCCTTGCACAGCATATACC